GTTGAACACAACTATTATGTTATTATATTATACATTTTTTAAGTTTGTAGTTGTTAATTTTTATTTTGTTATAAATCCAATAATGATGCTTATTAAATACTCGAATTTTTTATTTACCTTTTATTTATTGATTTAAAAACTTTACTTAATCCTGTTAACCAAAATATCGCAGATATAATATCTTAAGTTATAGAGATTAAATTCTCTGTCCTTAAAGCGGATCAGTGAACGTACGTCACAGCGTCATAGTTCTTAGGTATTAATCCAAACAGTTTGATTCGCAAATCTATGCATCAAATTGATCTGTGAAAAATCTGAATTATCCTTTTATGACAGCTCATTAAATTTTAATTTTATTATTATTATTATTATCAATAGTGCTACAACCCGGTATTGGCCTGCACAAATCTGCTCTTCCATGCGTCACGATCTGTTGTCGCCACCATCCAATCTCGGATTCTCAGCTTTCTTGCGTCTTCCTTGATACAGTCCGCCCATCTCAAATTCGATCTGCTTCTGCGCCCCTCTAATATTTTCGCATCAAAAACCTGCTTCGCAGGTTCCGTGTTTTCTATGCAGGTAACATGCTCAGTCCATGCTAGTCATTGTATCTTAAATATGTGATACTATGTTTTGTTGCTCATACTCTCTGTATAATTTGTGATTGTATATCTTTGTTTATAGATTCCATTTTCACAGATTGGGCCGTAGATTTTTCTCAGTATTTTCCTTTCAAAGGCCCCGATCTTTTGCTCGCTGGCTTTGCAAAGTGTCCATGTCTTAAAGGAGTATGTTAAAATAGGCCGAATCAGTATTTTATACATCAGTATTTTCGATTTCCGAATCAGTGCTTTTGAAATTTAGTCAGGCCATGGCTGACATTGAACGCTGGACGTTGAACGACGCTTTGTTAAAGAATTCTTTTACTAATTTCTTTGGTCACATCGTTTCGGTTGTTAATCTGAGTTCTTAGGTATATGAAATCCTGCACTACTTCAAAAGTATAATTTTCTATATCAATATGCTGCAGTGCATTTCTACGCCTCTCTGATGTGCTAGCCACCATATATTTTGTCTTATCTACATTAATTCTGAGATCCATGCAAGCAGCTGCCTTTGTAATACTTGAGAGTTTCTTTCATCGCGTATTGTGATCTGCTAACTATAGGCGTAAGCTAGCAATTGCGTTGACCTATTAAATATTGTTCCTCTAGTATTAATATTTGCATCTCTTATTACCTTTTCCAGGACGATGTTAAAAAGGACAGGCATGCTAGAGCATCTCCTTGTACAAGCATCCGTCGCAAAGGTTTCCGATTAAACTCTAACTCTAATTTAGTAACTACATTTAGTTTACTAATAAATTAATTTCGTATAAATATTTCATATTAATGTTAACCGTGTATATCTTTTTTATTTTATTTGCATTTTTATAGAATAGAGAATTATATTTTTTAATTTATAATTTATAACGAAACCTTAGACATTTATTATGATGTTTGTAAATAATATTGTTGCGCATCAACGATCCCTCGCTCGGCCGACACTCTCCTAATCATTCGTGCTTACACGCAAAATAACAGAGACTCTTTAAAAAAGAAACGAATTATAGTAAACGCAATACAGAAATCAATGTCCATAAATATGAATATCATGCAACTTTACACCTCCCTTGTCATCAAATAATTGGCAGAAAGTGGTTTTCATTCTGCTATATACGGGAGAACAACAACGAGTGAATCTCCGCTTGGTTATAACATTGCCCTCTCCTCTTTAAAATTGTTATCCCAACAATTTCTAAGGAACTTATTCATAGAAAAAAGCCTTACTCTTCTTCGATGAAAACTCCAGGACATCTGATAGCTTCCTGCTCTACTCCCTATTACAGGTTACGGTCGCCATATTTTCTCAATCTTGCACCTTCCAAGAAAAGGTGCGCCGCTGCAGGGACTTATTTCATCTTCTTTTTTCGTTCATTTTAAATTTTTCTTTCTTGAATCTTCTTGAAGTTTATGTACTTCTTTCTTGAATCTTGAATAAGAGAGAAGGAGGATTTCTATAGATCCAAATGTCTGTTCAGACTTCCCAAGTTTCCGCCCTGGCATTCGCTTAAAGTCCCACGAGAAAAGTGGTCAACAGTCAAAAATCGGGAAAGAACGGTCTCTTTTAATGAATAATGTTCAATCTTCAAACAAGAAGAACTCTCTTCTTAACCTCTCCACATAGCATTTTCAAAACTAAACAAACACAAAACGAATCAATATCTATTTTCCTCAAATTTAGAACATTCGAATTTATTGCTTTACTTCTTTTGGACGAAGAAGGTTAATCATTCCTTAACAAGTTCCGATGGAACCACGATTTAACCAAAATTAATATTAAATAATTTTCTACATTCCCAGAATGGAACTAAACGAACACAATTTTCCGGATAAATTAATGATTCTCTCAACTTAAAAGAATCCTTACAGAAGAAACTTTCGAAAAATATTAGATAATTGGATCATCCTCTTTTAAAATCGAGATATTGAAATCCGTATCAAACTTGAAAAATATGTCAATCCGCAAATCGAGTTTTAAA